GATGCCATGGCACTCTACCCAGGGGGGTAGCTTGAGGCTCCTGTCTCAAAAAAAAAAAAAAAAAAAAAAAAAAGGTCTGTTGAAAGCAAAAAATACAGAGAAAATTTTATACCACAAATGGATCTCCATGTCAACTAGACATGCCATTTAAATATATTAAATTGAACGTTTATGATTAATTTTTTAAAAAATGTAATTGAGTTTATGACAATGGTACTTTTTGAATAATACATTAGAAGGGAAAAAAATTCGTGTCAGCATCCTGGTAGGAAATTTGTTCCTGTCAGGACGATCTAACATTTACTGCTATAATGGCGTCATCCAAGGCCGTTGTGGTGGGATTAAGTAGGAACTGAGTGTCTGTTAATTTTGTCAGTCCTTTTCTGACACTGGAGTAGAGGAAGGACCTAAAATGCTGGGAAGAAATTAACTGAGCAAGTAATTCTATGGAAACATTTTGTGGGACATGGATAGTCTCAGCTTTTCCTTTACAGACTTACAAAACACTGTGGGCAAAACCCTGGAGTCTAAAATTAAATCTCATTCAGGTTTTGCTCCATTTTCGCCTTGCTAGTCCTTACCCACAGTGTTAGATGCTAAAATGCCACCTTGATGTAATAAATTTGGAGCTTAATTTAACACTTGATATTCTTTCTTTCCATAGCGGTTTCCAACCTAGATGAGGAGAGCCGTTGGACAGTCCACTACACTGCCCCATGGCACCAGCAGGAGAATGTGTTCCTTCCTGCCACCAGACCCCCCTGTGTGGAAGACCTGCACCGCCAAGCCAAGCTCAACCTCAAATCAGTATTGAGGGGTAAGATGGCGTCCTCTGCGAGTTTGTTTCCTCAGGTTACTGATTTGGAATTAAGAATATATATATAAATCTGATCTCTATCTGTAAAGGAAAATCTATTTATATTGAGTATGTAGTGTGCATGTCTTTATAAGATATCATAACTACAACCTAATGCATGCCTACATGTTCTGGTCTCTGCAGAAACCTGCCTCTTTACAAATATGCAAATCTATTCAAAGATTTCACTTCTGCTTAAAAACACTTCAGCATGTTTAAACCACCAGTGCTAATTTGATCCAAATAAACTCCTGCTGACAATATGGGACATTTTGCCACTGCCTTTTAAAAACCATTGCAAATATTCAAAGCAAATTTGTTTTTCTAAACAAATTTGTTCTGTTTAGTTCAAGCTGGCTGGGAAGAAGACTTCTATGGAGATGTTGAAGAATTGCTAGGTGGTTTGACTATGGGAACTTGTATGGTATCCTCCTGGGCTCTTCTGAGCAAAGGGCCCATCTATAGATGGACAAGGTGTCCTGTGGTTTGTAGAAAATACAGGAGTTCTTCCTGTACCTCATTTAAAATTCTCAATCTTTACTCAACTTGTTGTATACCAAAAAGGGCTTTCTGGCTCGGTGCCCATAGCTCAGTGAGTAGGGCGCTGGCCACATACACCGAGGCTGGTGGGTTCAAGCCCAGCCCAGGCCTGCTAAACAACAATGACAACTGCAACCAAAAAATAGCCATGTGTTGTGGCAGACGCCTATAGTCCCAGCTGCTTGGGAGGCTAAGGCAAGAGAATTCCTTAAGCCCAAGAGTTGGAGATTGATGTGAGCCGTGACACTGTAGCACTCTACCAAGGATGACATAGTGAGACTCTGTCTTTTAAAAAAAAAAGAAAAAAGATGCCATAAAGGGCTTCCTCAGGGTGGTAAGGGAGAGATTTCTTCAAAGAGGAAGGACTGACTCATAAAATTCAGAGGCTTTTTTTTTTTTAAGAAGAACAAAGCAAAGTTCTTATTCTAACAGGTGCTGCTCCTACCATATTTTTCTAACATGTAATATTTTGGATGTAAGTATATTAAAAAAGTAATTGTTGTTAATCTGAAATTTAATTTAACTGGGCATCCTGATTTTAGCTAATGTGGGAGACTTAAATCTGGGAGAAATTCTGTCATTGACTCAAGGAAAACCTAGCATGAGGACCCCTCTAAATTTCATGGTAATTTTTACTTGTACATCAGTCATTTATTAAGTGATTTATTATCTGACATACTATTACTGGGGTCCCTATGATGACCAGCTAACATCTATCAAACACGTAATGTCAGATACTATTCTCAGCCCACTAGATGTACCACCTCACTTAATCCTCACAATAATCCTACTACTTAGTATTTCTAAGCCCAGATGGCAAAATACAAATGCAAAGATTAGAAACTTCCCCCAAGATGTCCACATTAGTTAGCAGTAGGGCTTTAAACTTGGACAACCTGAAGCTGTAGAACTCATCATATTCTTAACTGTTACACTATCCTACGTTTAACAACTATTTGTTAGAAATCCATTATTTTGGCAGAAGTGCACAGTACAAGGCAGGTCGTAGCTCTCAAGGATTTTATGTTTGTATCTAACATGCAAATCACAATATGAAAAATACTTAGGCTCAGCACCTGTGGCTCAAGTGGTTAAGGCGCCAGCCACATACACCTAAGGTGGCAGGTTCGAATCCAGCCCAGGCCCACCAAAACAACAATGACGGCTGCAACCAAAAAATAGCCAGGTGCTGTGGCAGGCGCCTGTGATCCCAGCTACTTGGGAGGCTGAGGCAGGAGACTCGTTTGAGCCCAGGAGTTGGAGGTTGCTGTGAGCTGTGATGTCATAGCACTCTACCCAGGGGGACAGCTTGAGGCTCTGTCTCAAAAAAAAAAATACTTAGGAGACATGCTAAAAATTGCTGTGTGGAATAAGAAGGAATAACTATCAACAGATTGCACTATAGATTTTGTATCCTGAACAAAACTATATAAACATTTTAGATCATGGCCCTATTTATCTAATGTGGGAGACTTAAATCTGGGAGATTCCTTTAATCTTTTGCAATGACTATATTATCTCCTGTATCTTACATTATCTTCTTGTATCTTATAGTCTTTAACTGGGCATCCTGATCTTATCTAATGTGGGTTTGTTTTTTTTTTAATCTAAATTGTGCTTTACTACCTGTTGCATGTATTTTCAAGTTGCAGATCAGGACTTTTACTGGCTGGGTGTGGTGGCTCACGCCTAGCACTCCGGGAGGCCAAGGCAGGAGGATTGCTTGAGCTCAGGCGTTTACAACTGGCCTAAGCAAAGCCAGACTGTCCCTATTTAAAAAAAAAAAATTGAACATATGTACACAGACTTTTCTGCTTTTATTTCCTTCTTGTCTACTACTCAGTACATCCCTGAGAAATGTTATCACCATTGGTTTTGTAATTGCTTTAATGCCCTCAAATGGTTCATCAAAGGGATTTTTTATTAACAAGATTAATAACTTTGGAAAATTCTTGGACCTCAACTTTTAAAGTCTGGATTTTATAATTCCTTAGGAGATTTTTAGGTAAGTAATGAATTTACAAACTGTTTGGGAAAGATGAAACGAGTCAAAGCATTTGAGTTCTTTTAATCACATGTATGAAGCTTCATGTACCACTTCCCCTATATCATCTTAGCAATCTAATATTAAAGATAACTAAATACAGAGTATTTGTTGCCTCATCCTCAGTGAAGACTTTTTTAAAAATCCAGAAATCCAGTCTCCAGCTATGTGGCACTATTAGAGTTTGATGTTGTATAGGTTATCTAAGTTAATTTAATCCCAGCATTTTCTACTGAAAAACAGAGAAAGGTAGCTAATTATTCACAGAAAGTAATACTTTCTACTTACAGGAGAACTTCGATAATTGACCACCTCCCTAAGTTGACCTAATGTTCATCGACCAGACATACACCACGTGTACTTATCAGGACAGCAGTCCTAGTTCCTTATGTTGATCACCTACATATCTTGACAAGTTTGTTACAGTCTCTTGGGTGGTCAACTTACAGAGGTTCAACTGTATTTTGCTACTCCTATTAGAACTATTTTCTTGTCCCTAATTTTAAGGAAGAAATGCCACTCTGTAATGTTAAACAGGTTGTTACTTTTTCATTGTTCTTAAATGTTCATTGTATGAATTTTTCTGTCAGTTTTTATGGAGAGCTGGCTCTACTCTTGAGAACCATAAAACATGGAGGGAAATGACATAGTAAGTACAAATCATAACGAAATATTGTAAGCATATACTTTTTAAAGTAAGGAAGAGATGCTGATCCTCAGGAAAGTGACTGAGGAAGGCACGGGTTTCATGAAAAAGCTAAGTTTGAGTCAGGTGGCACCTGTGGCTCAAAGGAGTAGGGCGCCAGCCCCGTATGCCAGAGGTGGCAAATTCAAACCCAGCCCCAGCCAAAAGCTGAAAAAAAAAAAAAAACTAAGTTTGAGTCAGTAAATCAAGGCACATAATAGACACTAAATTTAATCAGCATTTAAGCATCAATTCTATACTCTGCCAGGAGTTTTAAAATGAACTGATAAAATTTCATGGATCCCCAACTTTAAAGAGCCAAGCTTGGTGTCTTGAGCTAACACAGAAGTAAACAGGCAATAGTGTGTTGGAGGTATGCATCAGGGGCACAGGGAGACAATAGTGTGTTGGAGGTGTGCATCGGGGGCACAGGGAGGCAATAGTGTGTT